TCCAGGAAGTTCCCGCCTTATTGCATGGACCCCTTTGACTGGGCTCATACAATTTGTTCTTGGTTGATTTTTTTATATGTACGTCAGGGGCAGACCTGAAAATTTTTGCTGATAGCCAACTGGGATATTGGAGCAGTGAATAGTGTGAGTGTGCCCTGTGATGGGTTGGCACCCCATCCTGGGTTGTTCCCTGCCTTGCGCCTGTAGGTTCCAGACCCCCATTGACCCTGAATGGGACAAGTGGGTTCAGAAAATGGATGGATGGTATTTGAGTAAAAAATGTAGTCCAACATTATATATTTTTTACTAGCTGGTGAACTACTGTTCATTTTTTTGTACTTGCCCTTTGTCCAAATTGCACACCTCAGGCTAACTGGAGAGCTTAATTTCCAGCCTTGTTCTACCTGTTATTCAGTATGTATGTACATACTATGTATATTATTTTTCATGTACCAATTGCTCTAAAGAAAACAATATTTATGGATATAGACCTTTGAAAAATTATCTGAGGGGTTCAAAATCTTGGAAATGTGGATCTGAATCTCAGTGTATCGCAGGCTGATTCCCCTCTTGGGTTTGAAACAGTTTCTTGTCCCGGATAGACCTAAGTATGCTGCTAACTGCTGCCCCCTACTGGAGGTGTCCTTCATAGCTGCATGTTGGAGGATAAGAAAATCTGCAACTAAAAAAAGAATCAAGCGCCTGTTAAACTGGTGACCTGCGAGTTTACTGCTTTTACTTTAACCAATTAATCACTGGATTAAATGGTTACTATTTCATTACCTTCATTGAGTGGCTAAGGATGTGTACTCCAGATACTAGTTCATTTTTGCTAAAAATCATTACTAGTATTAATTGAAAACCTTTTGCTCCAGATATTTTTCACCAAATAGTTGCTTGTAGCTCTACACCATCATTTGCACTAACCCTGCCCTTGTGCCCCCCCCCCAAAAAAAAAAAAAAGTGGAAGTGTCACCTGAGATCTTCATGGGCCTGGAGCTCTGCATGCTGAAGATGTTCTCGCCCTTGTCTGACTGGGGGCTGTGCTTCAGCATCCGGATGGCGAGCAGGTGATCGGCCCAGCTCTGCGCGGAGACACACAGCTCCCTGCTCAGCGTCAGTGGCGGTGCCCCGTGATCCTGCCGGTACGCGTTGTGGGCCTCCAGAAACTCCCGCTCAAAGTCAGTGTCTGAAGAGAAGGGGAGTGTGACCAGGGGGCGGGGCACTGAGTCCCAGTGCTGCCACACTCACGCACCACTTCATCGCTCTCACCCAGATGGATGTTTCAGAACTCAGCACACATTTTTAAATTGCTAACAGTGAAGGACAATGCTTGCTGTACCTCTCATTCCATGTGTGCCAGTAAAATTAACTCTGAACAAAGTAGGATTGCTTTTTTATGAAGGAAAGTTTATGGAATCATCTTTTCTTACATCCTTTTGAAATCGTTTTCAGATTTTTATATTGGCGAACCACGTACATGGTAGTTTTACACATATTTTTTTTAATCTTTAATAGAGTTTTTCAGACTTTTATAAATCTTTTGAGCTTTTCTTGAAATCCTTTATAGATCTTCTAAGACTTTTATACATCATTTGTGTTTTTCCTGAACTCGTTTATAGATCTCTTCAGTTTTTCATGAGATCTTACTTAATGGGGTGAGATAAGATCTCGAGAGCAGGTGACTGACGCATCCACATGTTGGCAGCGGGTGAAAACAAAAAGCTTACAATTCAGATGCTAAGAGATGAACACAGAAGAGCAGAAGAGCCCAAGTAAGAAATGTAAGGGGAAGGGAAAGAACTCACCTGCCATATTTTTCCTCTGCTTTATAACTGGAAAACAAACAAAATACATACTTTTACTGAACTTTCACTTCTGGAAATCTTCTGCCTGCCAGTTTGAGGCATTATTTTTAAAAACACAAGCTTAAGCAGTGGCTGACAGGGAAGCGGCAGATCCTGCACTGCTGTCATCTTCCTGAAACGCTGTCTAACTGCTCCGTGTGATACACACCTGCCCGCCTGTCCGAATGGCTGCCCGTCCACCGCTATGCACCCCTGGTCTTTTGCCGTTCCTCTTTGTCTCGCTGCCACAAAGTTATTTATCAAGGCCGGGAAGCCCCTCCCTCAGGAGCCCTTTGCGATTCACCATGGCCCTATC